TTGTTACAAGCATACAACACATAGTGACCAAGTCAGGGTATTCAGGGTACCCATTACCAAAGTACAATACATTTTTGTTAATTATAGTCATCCTACTCTGCTATCAAACATTGAATTCATTCCTTTTAGCTCACTGTATGTTTGTACCCTTTAATCCACTTCTCTTCATCTCCCCCTCTTCTCCCAAAATGGGTGAGGGACAGTTGTTCTCACTCATATGTTTAAAAACAAAACAAAACAAAAAAAACCTGTGACATATGCCTTAAATATACACAATTTTAAAATAAGAAAAATAAAACTAAAAAAAAAAAAAAAAAATCAGTAAACCATGCTGTAAACAGACGCACTGTCATCCAGGCTTTGTTGTTCCATTTACAGAGTACAGGCAGAATAGATAATAAACATAATTCTCAAGGGCCTTAGGATTTTCTGAATGGTAAGCACTGGCTTCCACTTAAAGTCATCATCTGCAATAGTCCATAAGAAGAGAGTCAGCCTGTCTTTAGAAGCTTTCAACCCAGGCACTGACTTCTCTCTAGCAATGAATGTCCTACACAGTATCTTCTTCCAATAGAAGGCTGTTTCATTTACACCGAAAATTTGTTAGTGTAACCACCTTCACCATTGATCTTAGCTAGAACTTCTGGATAACTTGCTGCAGCTTCCACATCAGCACTTGCCATTTCACCTTCCATTTTTATGTTTTGGAGATGACTTCTTTCCTTAAAACCTCATGAACCAACCTTTGCTAGCTTCAGACGTTTCTTCTGCAGCTTCCTTGCCTCTCTCAGCTTTCCCAGAATTGAAGAGTTCGGAGCTTGCTCTGGATTAGGCTTTGGCTTACGGGGATGTTGTGGCTGGTTTGATCTTCTATCCAGACCACTGAAACTTTCTCCTTATCAGCAATAAGGCTGCTTCACTTTCCTATCATTCGTGTGTTCACTGGAGTAGCACTTTTAATTTCTTTCAAGAACTTTTCCTTTGCATTCACAATCTGGCTAACCGATGTAAGAGGCCTAGCTTTTAACCTATCTGAGCTTTCGATATGCCTTCCTCACTAGGCTTAATTATTTCTAGCTTTTGATTTAAAGTGAGAAATGCGTAACTCTTTCTTTCACTTGAATACTTAAAGGCCACTTCAGGGTTATTAATTGACCTAATTTCAAAATTGTTGTATCACAGAGAATAGAGAGGTCTGAGGTAAGGGAGAATGACGGGAGCATGACTGGTCAGTGGTGCAGTTAGATTTACCAATTAAATTCACCATCTTGTATGGGTGTGGTTCATGATTCCTCAAAACAATTATGATAATCACAAGAAAGCTCATTGATCACAGATCACCATAAAAGATACAATAACAAAAAAGTTTGAAATATTGTCAAAATGACCAAAATTCGACACAGGCATGCATGAAGCACACGCTGCTGGAAAAAATAGCACTGACAGATTTGGTTGATGCAGGGTTGCCACAACCCTTAGTGTGTAAAAAAACACAGTATCTGCAAAGCACAATAAAGTGATGTGCAATAAGACAAGGTAAGCCTGAATATGAAACAGATAAAGCAGAAATGCTAAGGTTGAAACATGGGATGGGAGACCAGAACCCTTACCCCTTTCACCTCTACACCTGGGTTCCACAGAGACCAGTGTGAAGACTTAGTGGTAACTGGTTTGTCATTTTCTGAATTTATTTATAGTATCTCCAGTCATATTTATAATAATTTCTTATTGAATGTCTGCTACTTTCTCTTCAAGGATAAAAATAAACAATAGCATTCTCATTATATTATATTCTATCATTACATTTTCACTTTGTTCTACTAACCTTTTACCCTAAATACATCCTTGTTTAGCTCTCTTAATGATTTTTACTGTGGAATATAAAATAACAGATCCTGCTATTGCTTTACTGTTTAGTTACATGTGCATGAAAAACCTTAACCTTTTAGTGTCTTTATATCTTATCATTTTAAGTATTTCTCTTTTGGCAACTGATTATGAAGTTCTGTCAGTGATCTTCTTTAATTGAGGCTCACAGACTTTTTTCTAATGTAGTTAACTGACAATTTTATTATAATACACTAATTTATGTAATTGTCATTTTTCTTTGCTGCCTTTGGCCAGTTACTTACAGGTTGTGGTATATATTACATATTTATTTCATTTTACCACAAATTATATCTTCCAACCCATTTATCTATTTCTCAAACATTAACACTAATAAACTCTAACTTAGCTGCTTTTATTATTATTAACTAAATACACTTTGAGCTTCCCTTTCCTATAATTTTGAACCACAGTTCATCAATCTAATTGAGAAATTTGAACTTTGTTATAAAATTCTATATTCACAACTTACAGTTCTTAAAAAAAAAATCCCCCAAGTTTTACTAAACTGGTTTTGCTTTATATCATCAAATCTTTTCTTAATAGTTTAACTCATTTATCTCTTGTAAGTCATTTTCAATCATACACTACTTTCAAGCCTATTTTATCTTAGTGATAATCTATTAAGAAACAATTTCAGGTTTACTAAGACCTCAAATGTTTCCTTCTACCTCCTAAGAGACATTCAATTTGGCCATACAATAGAATGAGAGCTATTATTTTTCTTAGCCATCATAAATCCTATTTTCAAAGTGTATGAAGTGAGGGCTGAAGTAGTTCTTGACCTCTCTTCCTTAAATAATATTGTAAGTTCTGTAATTTAGGTTTAAAAACCTATTATGTAAGAATCTTTAGCCCTGTTCCTGCTTTTTTGAAGCACTTTCTAATATTTATGCTGAAATCAGGCTGCAAATAAGGGAAATCTTTCTTATGTTTTTCATTATGGTCTTTATTTTGCATGTCTTTACATTTTCATGTGATGTTCTTACTATCCAAAGATACACTACATAAACAGATAATATAGCCATTATTTTTTCTTCTTGATGGTCTCTTTATCTCATTTTTCTGTGACTGAGATTTGCTTCTTTACCAGCTGCATTCATTATTTCCTTAAGGCCTCTATCCATGTGCCAATATCAACAGATCATTTATAAATTTAACTCCATCTTTCAGGATTTAACAGGTTTTCACAGTCAGAAGGAACTTAAAAGTGCTCCACCCGAAAAAAAAAATACTTATTTTTTTACAGGAATTCTTTATTATAGTCAATCTACATTAAACTAGTTAATTTCAGAAGATTTATCTTGCTCAAAAGCTTTCTGCTAGAGTAGACATTCTGATTATTGTGGAAGACTATACAATTTTTTTCTTCCTCTTTTCATCACACAGCAACATTTACCTGTTAGCTATACCGGTTTGTTTTGTTTTCTTCTCACTTTTCTTTGTCTTATGTGAGATTTTTTTTTTTTTTTTTTGGTCAGTTTTACTACTTTTTCTTCTACTATCCTCCTAATACTGTGTAGAATAAAAGGTTTACATAACTAATTCTCCATTCTCAATTATAATACTCACATTTGATACTGGAGAAGACAGAACTGTAACACATGACTTTTTAATAGAAATAAGACCAAGCATAATGAATAGCTTTTCTTTACATTCTCCAGAATTTGAAATTAATAATCCCATATCTCTGTAAGTGCTCAAGAACATGTATTTAATGTAGTAACTTGCATTTGTTCATTCTTTTCCTTGTTAAATATATATACACCAAATTAAAAAGTATTCTAGTATAAAATCTTGCATTGCAATAGCTAATATCTCTTCTTTATTATAAACACCCCAAGGTTTACCGCTACATGTTCTAACTTCTTCATGAAATCACTCGTGAGTATGTAATAATCATTACTACTGTATAATATCTTGAAATAACTAATTTTAGTTATTTAAAAATAATTTTTCAAAACCTAGACTTTTATTATAAATAAAATATATTGGTATCTGAAACAAATTCTGTAAAGGGATATGTTCTTTAACACAATCCTATTTTTCTTATTTTCTGTTTGTTTTACTCTTTAAAAGACCTAGTTTTCTAAGCAGTGTATCTTTAAATTATTATCCAATGGAAAAAAATATGGTCAAGAATCATTCAATATTTATAAAGGTATCCATTTTTATATGGTGCTTATTAAAATCATATCATAGGGATTTAAACAGGTCTATCTGGATCTTCCTGTTACTTATTTGACTCAAAACAAATGTATAAAATGTATAAAACTAGATAAATGTATTCAGTTTTGCAAAGGCATGAAAATCCAACAAATCTTTCTCATCAGATTGCATGAACTATTAGATGACTATTCGCACTTTTTTCCATAAAAATATTGTTTGAGGTATGGTACATTTTTAATGTAATTTTTCCAGTGCCTAACATTAGGTTTACTATAAATATCAGATGTTCTTTCACAGATTTTGAGATCTTAATAATATCAAAAACATATCACTGATGCTCTATGCCTTGAGTTGTCAATCTGAATGAAAATGACACCATTATTAGCATCATCACTAACAGATTTCTTAAATTAGCTGCCAATACTATCAATTACATATTTTGCTGTTACTTTAGAAATGAGCTTGTCATAAGCATGCCATTTGCCACTGTTTTATCTGGCTAACAATAAATTCAAGTGTTCTTTGACAAGGGACATCAGTAGGGCAGGGACTGGAGCTCAAATATTTTAATATTTGAGACATTTTAAAAATTGTGGCCACAAGGTAATTTACGTATCCTCTTTAGGCCTCAATGTCTTCCTTAGTTAAGCTGCTGAGAGGATTCAATGAAATAATTCATGCAATGCACTTAACACAGAGCTTGGCACACACTAAGTGAAAGATTTTAGTAGTTGATAATAAAGATGATAATTTCCTAAAAAAAGAATTCAAAAACTAGTCCCAGCATTTATCAGATACTACAGACACATTTGACACATCTACTACTCTTTACCAGACTCTTCTTTCATTCTTTTTTACTTTCCTGTGTTCTATGTTCATGGCCTCATCAGTGAGGCTTTAGTAACATTATCTCTAAGAGGTTCATTAGGTGGCACTCAGAATACCTGAAATGGAAGCTATGTTCTCTATGCGCCTCTTTCACACATGTTGAAGCTTCCGATTGCTCTTGCTTGAAATAAATTTGCGGGAAGCTGCCTTTACTCCACACTAAGCATTGGAGAGAGAAAAATGGCCAGTGTCTCTGGGGAATAATTAACAAAAGACAGTTTGTTTCATCTTCATGATAAAATACAGCATCCCTATTAAAAGGCAAATTCATCATTTCCAAAAGTTAAATAGAATGACACTTTTAAAGTAATTCCAGCTGATTAAATTTAGGGCTTTGAAAAAAAAAATTAATTCATGAATATACTCTGAATCTTTCATTTGATTTTAAAATGTATAAATGTTCATTTAACTTTGAGCCCTTGCCTCTCAGTGTTCTATTCTGAGCTAGTCAAACAAGTGGTAGCAGGCATGCTGGGCTCAATAATACTGCCTCTCATATTTAAATACTCTATTTCACTTGGATTGCAAATTAAAGACAGTCTCCTGAATGCTGACACATTTTCAATGATTGATTTTGCAAAACGTGTTGATTTTTCCTACACTGTTTTGCCTCTCTGTGTGTCAACTTTGGCCTTCTTTTCTTGCTCCTTTGCAGCACTGCTGTCTCTTTGAAGACATTGTCTGCCTGATATAAAAAAAAAATGTACATTAAACCTCATGACTAATTATGTGGATAGAAAATTCCCGATCTCAAACATAAAATACCCCTGCCCAGAAACCATAACAAAAGCTTCTGACTATGTACAAAACCCTTAATCAAACCTTTCACAGACTTGGATTAAAAGAAATCCCAATAATTTATTTTCTGTAAATGTTGTGTTTACATTCTTTGAAAACTTGATTTCTTATGCATGTTACATGCCTGTAAGTCAATCCATTTAATAATAAACACCATGCTTTTCCCCACAAAAGTTTACACTTGCTATTAGTTCTACTTCAATTAAATACTACTCAGAAGAACTGTTTTATTAGAAAGACAAAACTGATTTGTCTTAACACAATGTCCATTTTTTAGTGCCTTCTCCATACTATGCATTAACAGAGTAGACTCTTCACAATAAATTCTACAATCTATGGATTAAGTACACAGCTTCTTTGTATTTTAAAAATATACTTGAAAAGAAAATAAACACATACTTTTTGCCCTTCAAATTCCCCAAAAGATAAAAAAGAATTTCTCTAAATCTGAAAGTACAGTACCTTACACACAGGTCACATATAGGACAGAGCATGGAATTTTTTGTCTCAGACAACCTATTTGCTGGGAAAATCATAATAGAACAGTTCTAGAGTTAATTTAACAAATCACTTTTTAAGAACAGTAACATGCAAGGCCATATTAAGCACTGTCAGTGACTGCCCGTAAGCAGTTTATAATGTAGTGTCTGTGTGCACACATGTTGGGGGAAACAGGTAAAAAAGACAACATACAAAATAGTGACCGTCTGAAATGATGAGGTGAGCATCATGTGAAAGCACACCACGGGAACAAAGACAGAAGTTATGAACACTCCCCAGCGTGCCTCTTTAGCATGTCGGAATTTCCATAAAGCCTACCAGTCACCATTTGTTTCCACAACCAGTCCTAGCAACACACCTTCCTTGCTTCCAGTCTACCAAGTCTAGGTACTCTGCTATTTGGCTGTTGCTTGCCTTTTTGTTAGACCAACTCTCCTCTACCTCTAGTTGTACATCTCCCACCATTACCAAGTACAATAAAAGCATCACATGCCACCACTTTCCCACTATTTTGGGAAGCCCTGCAATGACTACCAGTGTACCAATTAACTAGTCCAACCCTGGAGATAAAATGATAGTTCCTTAAAACTGTGTTCCAGACTGGGAAGATGAGAGGAGGTGGGGTGAGAGTAGCCACATTAGTTACTCTTCAGAAATAGCCACACTACCTAAGCAGACCAGGTTGGATTAAGGTCTGCACATGAGCCAAAGCTGAGAATTCATTGCCTTTGTTGGCTCATGTCACTTCTTAATTAATGTCACTTTCTCTGGTTTAATATCAGAGCAAGTGACAAGAGTGCTTCTGGATGAATTGTGTTTTCCGAGGACTGTATGGCACACTCTCCTGCAGTCTGACAGAGGGACGTGCCAGTTTTACTTGGCAGTTACAATGCACCAGCTTTAGTTTTAGTAGTTTAATTTGTGGCAGTTATATGTTTTGAATACGTTGAAGTATTCACAACGGTCTCATGGAATCTGTTCCATAGATAAAGTTTACACAGTGAAAAAGCAAAAGCAACGGCTATAAGGCGATTAGGAAAAGCTTCTCTTGGCCACAGCTGGTCTTACAGGCATTCCTGTAAATTTTAGAGCATTTAGAAGATATGATTAAAGTGATCAGAAGGAAGAGTGCCCTCTTTCAGGGGGTGGGGGAGGGGAGTTCTGTAGTGGGTGTGAGACAATCAGAAGGAAATATGATGTTTAGAACTCAATTTTATGCAAAATCCATTATTCAAGAAGCAAAGTTTATATACATGATAGACATGCAATGAAATAAATGTAAAAATAGAAAGTTTTGTTACTTATGCATTAAGTTGGTTCTAACATTTTGGTTAACTAAGTTTTTATTGATAGAAAACTCTGAAGATTTTCTGCATTGAGGAGAAAGGACTAAACTTTTTCCTTTGGTTTATTAAAAATCTTTCTGTTTCAGGATGACATTTTCTGAAGGTCTTTTATTTGGAGTTTTCTCTTCATCTCTTTTATACAATTTTGTGAAGCTTCATCAGTTCATAGTGAAAAGAGCTGCCTGCCACCAAGGAGTTCTTCTAAACTTTGCCTGCCCTTTCTAAATTTAGGGTTCTTTACTGCAGCAGGTTGAAGATCTGGCTTTGATTGCACCTGGCTCTGCTGGAGAATAGAAATATTCATCTCCACTGAATGCATGCTGCTTAAGTGCTGGAGGCACTTGCAGGAGAGTAACTCTCATTGGAAACTTCATTACAATACTTTCTCTTCCCTACATGAAGTAGTAATTCTCATTCACCAAAGATAGGATTTTGCCTGACACAGCCACAGGAGCTGCTGTTTGACTTTCAAAATTAATCAACTTCTAAGCTGGAGTAGAAATGGCATGTCCTTTAACCTTAAGCACAAAAAGCTCTCAACAGACTGTAGTTTTTATATCCCTGGATGGGAATTTGGGCCCCTGATACTTAAACTTGATTCACATACTGGGTTTCTGGCATGCTTTTGCCCATACCCATCTGCTAGCCTGGCACTGTGCCCATTCAGAAGGTGTGATGCCAGTTTCAATAGGGCATAGGTGCCAATCAAAGATGGGTTTGGAGGGGCAGCATGCAGAACGCAGCAAAAGTCAGTTCTTCTGCCAGAAGATCCTCCTGTTATCATATAATGCCAATGAAGGGCCACATGCTTCATTGCTTGGGATCACATTGCATCTGTAGATGTTTCTGGCCTTCAATGGATGTCTTTCTACAGAATATTTCCCTCAAGTATTACTTGATAGAAGATGTTAAAGAAAAGATAAATCCACTTGGCTAACAAAAGGCCATGCTTTTAAAAGAGACAAGGGAAGTCCTCAACAATTATCTTGAAATAATTGCTGAGTTTTCTCTCTTTTCTCCTTAAAATATTTTTTAATGGAGCATACAATAGAGTGTTCAGGAATAACTCAGTCCATGTGATGGAGCTATCAGGGACGAACATTCTAAAGAAATACTAATTGCAAAATCAAGTATCTAAGCAGTATAAAAACCATAAGTGCCTTTAAGTGTAGATGATGAACAAATTTTCATCATCCAAGTAGCTAATTTCTAATGAGCTCTCTCATTTAGAGCTTTAAAGTTTCTTAATTTTCTTCTCATTTATCTGATATAGATATTCCTGTGTCTTAAAAGAAGAAACACACCTCATACTATTTATTCCTCTTCTTCCTTATCTAAAGAAAAAAAAAAAAACCTAAAACACTTCAGAAGCAGAAGTCTATCCATATTTCATAAGGAAGCCAGAAGCTCTCAAAAGCTGAGAATTCTTTTATTGTGTGGCAATAGAGGTGAGCTCATTTCAGAAAGAAGAAATTTCCCCATAGCAATAGGCTTCAAATTTAAAAAAAAACCTTGACCACTGTAAACAGTTACAAGATAGTAACAGATGCAGTGGAAGAGACATAATATATAAATGCACTGAAGGACACAGTATTTTATAAATCTTCCCTTAAGGCAAAAGAATTTGACAGTAAAGTGTTGAAATTGAAGAAGAATCATAATATGAAATATGCTTAAAAAATAGATATTTTAAAAAAATGAAGAAGCCAAGTCTTATAAGTCTCCATTTTAATGGAAGGAACCCAAACTTTCTAAACACCTAGATTTCTTAACTGATAGATAATTGGGTACTGCTATCTCTTTAAAAACTCAAAATTTAAATATAAACAAAATTAAAATACATCTTATAGAGACTTTTATTTCTTGTCTGTCAGTCCAACAAACACATTAAATTTACAAAATTTCAAGTGATCCCTTCCTCATTTTGAGTTTATATTACCTATTATTTACACCTTCTGGAAACTAATTTATCATAAATACTATAGTTTCTAGTACAAATTTTTCTCATTTTCACATTTATTCAATTCTTTTCTTCATTCCCACAGTATCATTTGCAAAATTGCCTAATAACAATTGCAGTGGCACCACAATGTTGCACTGCGTCAAATAAGGCTATTTATCTCAAAGCTCTCTCTATAAAACACTACCAAAATAACATTTAATAACGTAATATGTCATGAAGCAATATGTATTCCAACACACTACTTTGTTGCTAGTATTATCATTGTACTCTTCTAAACTTTATTCTGCATACCTTAAAATCAATCTATTATAGCTCACTATAAAGATAGTAAAAAATTATTTTATGAAGAAGTAAAACAAATTCTATGTATGTGGTTTATTTTTACTTGTTAAAAATATGTGTTTCCTTATCAGTAAAATAAATGAGTTAAACTTTGATAATTTTTAAAAACCTACCCCCAACAAAAAATTCCTTCTATGTTTCTAAAGCACAAAATTAGGCTAATCTGACAGCATGATCCAAAAATGTCTGGCAGTCACTTTGATGAAATTTAAACATCTGTCCATGGATAAATGATCTGATTTTTAGGCTTCACCACAGTTAACTTTAGTTATAAAAATATGTTATTCTTTATAAAAGCTTTGAGATAATATCTAAAAGATATTGCTACTGATGCCCTGTCAATAAAGCATATGCACATTCTTTTAGATGATGTCATGATAGTTGCCTTGTTTCAACTTTCCTGGTGACTAAGGATACTCATCTGTAGGAGTAGACCAAAGTTAAGAGTGACATCTATAATTATGGAAGAGAACAAAGCAAACTAGCTTGTGTGGGTTAAGTACTCCAATCTCAGTCTCAATTTCTTAGGCAAATAACTGTTGAACATCTATTCTGTGCTTGACACTCCAAAGATGCTAAATGGTCATCACCGTGCCCACCTTCAAGAAACTAAAACTTCTACAGATAAATCATATCTTTTACTTATATAATCAGCCTTCAAAATAATATGGCTAAAGTTTATCCTGTAATTCTGTTATTCTCAATTTTGAATAATTTCTAAAACCAATAGCTTTCATATCTGAAGCAGATAAATACAGCTTGTATGAGAACTTTTCACTACTATAGCAAATTTTAGGGGGAGCTTTTTTCAGTAAAATGTCATAAAGTCTTCTGTTGACATTCTCTATGTTCTCAGTTTTACCACATTAGTAGTTAAATCCACCAAAATTCATAGAATAAATAGAAAATTCACCCTTCCAATGGAGTTCTTTGTCATCGTCTTAACTATGGCAGCAACTTTTTTTTTTTTTTTTTTTAAAGACAGTCTCACTCTGTCACCTAAACTAGAATGCAGTGGTGCGATCTTGGCTCACTACAACCTCCTCCTCCCAGGTTCAGGCAATTCTCATGCCACAGTCTCCTGAGTAGCTGGGACTACAGGCACACATTACCACAACCAGCTAATTTTTTGTATTTTAGTAGAGATAGGGTTTCACCAAGTTGCCCAGGCTGGAGCATAGGCAATCCACCTGCCTGGGCCTTCCAAAGTGCTAGGATTACAGGCATGAGCCACTGAGCCTGGCCCCACTATGGCACCAGTATTAAGAATGGGAATGTCTAAGGAAATAAATAAATAAATTACATTTATTAAATGTTTATCAAGTTCCTTAAAAACAAAATCATTTAACTCTCCTCACAATTATTGTTATCACAATTATGCAGAATAGAAACAAAGAACCCAAAGGATTAAGTAACTAGATGAGTGAGTGGCTTCATCAGGTCAGGATTCAGGTCATATATGCCTAATGCCAAAACCTCTGCTATTATTTATGCAATTCTCCCTTAATTTACTTGGTTCTATGTTATACCTAGCATTATAATTAAATTCTAACCCTCAGTTTTCTCTCCTTCCTGAAGTTTAAAAAACTTTTTCACTTATTTGATACTAAAATGATAGCAATTTTTCCCATCCCCAAACCAGCTTCCTTTCTTCTTTTTTCCTCCCCTTCTCTTTTCATATTCAAAGAAAGAACTTTGACTTTGTTCTTGTATTCAGACTTCTTTTCACTCTTCTATTTATATTAATGCCAGAGGCACATTATTTCTCCAGGTCAAGAGTAAATACCAAACTTCTCTGCCCCTTCCCCTTAACTGTAAGCTGCTGATTACCAAAAGGCCCTGGCTACTGATGTCAACGCTAGAGGACAGTTGTACATGCACAATGAGCTAGACAGAGCGGCTAGTTTCTTCTCAGCCTTAGGCAGTAAATGCTGATCAAGTGTCTGCTGAAAGGGGGTATCTGGAAAGAATACCTGAAATGAATGTAGCTGGACACAAAGGTATTCAGGAAAATTTGAATTTTACTGCTTCTTCTCTTCATTTATATAGAGGAAGTGATAAGAACCATGGTAAAATGCAAAAACATTATGTAATTTCATGTTGATTTGTTTGTATAGCTTTGAAAAAAGTAAAAACTAAGTTTAGTGAAGTTAAACTGATTCTACGACTCATTAGCATCACTTTTAATGGAACAGTTACAACATTTGGAACACACATCTTTATCACAAAATCTGAAGTATCAGAGCCTTTTTTCTGAAAATAGCTAAATATTTCTTTAAAGTCCTTCCTCAATGGTGTGCACTCGCTAATCTTCCTAGGGTCCAGGTTTTAAAGTTCAGATACTAGAGAATGTTCCATTACATACTGAACCCTGAAATATATTATAAAACAAATAGTATTATTTTAGTAATAAAAAAAATAAGTAGGCTGGGCGCAGTGGCTCACGTCTGTAATCCCAGCACTTTGGGAGGCCGAGGTGGGCAGATCACCTGAGGTCAGGAGTTCAAGACCAGCCTGGCTAATATGGCAAAACCCCATTTCTATTAAAAATACAAAAATTAGCCGGGCATGGTGGCAAGTGCCTGTACTCCCAGCTACTTGGGAGGTTGAGGCATGAGAATTGCATGAACCTAGGAGGTGGAGATTGCAGTGGTCTGAGATTAAGCCACTGCACTCCAGTCTGGGCCACAGAGTGAGATTCCATCTCAAAAAAAAAAAAAAAAAAAAAGTAAAAGTATGTGACACTGTACTTAGACTGAAAGAAGCAAAGATTTTTCTGCATTTGAATAGGGGCAAGTAAGTCACATGCCTATGCAAGTATATTCCCTTATCATAACAGTAACAATAGTGACTATGTGTACACATAAATACATACAGATATGCAGACATACACTAATTAATCTTAAACATTGATTTGAATTTAAATACATATAATATTTACATTTCAAAAAGAGAAAAGAGGTAAGATCAACATAGTCAATGTTTTTTTCTAGTTCTTTGAAATTACTCAAATAATACAAACATTAGAAAACCAAAAGTGATAAGCTATGGAATCCAAGCCTATAGCTCAGCCACATCAGAAATAATGTATTCAACACTGTATCTCGACCTTCAGTCAAGACAGTATACTAGAGATCTTAATGCTTTGCTGTAATACAGAATTCACTAAGTTCAAGTTTCAAACAATACTCATTCTCACATAGTCTTTATATGTAATATTCTATACAGTAGCCACATGTAGTTACTGAGCACATGAGCCACGTGGTAATTGGGCTCTTGAGACTAGATAAACCTTAGATTTTGAAGACTTTCATTTAAAAAAGTAAAATATTTCATTTGTTTATGTTAAGAGCATATTGAAATAGTATTTTTGATATACTGCATTAAATATTATTAAAATAATTTCACCTGTTTCTTTTAATGTATTTTAATGTGGCTCCTAGAAAATTTTAAACTACATATGTAGCTTGTATTACATTTCTATTGAACAGTGTTGACTATGTCACTAAATCTAGCACTTAATAATCACAGCATTTTGCAATTTCAAGCAAGTTCAAACCCTTTAAATGGGGTAATTGTCCTTTACTTGGCCCATACAATTTTTTGTGCTGGTCTTGTCTTTCCAACTAGATTAGACACTGAAGTATTTAATAAGCAGCTACTTATTGACCAAATTTTATTCATTCATTCAAAACTACAATCTTAGTTTTATCAGAAGAGGATCTTTATGTTTCAGGATCCATGAAGCATGTTTTTCTGGAAATATTTCATGAGAACCCAAGATTCCCTCAAAGGAGGTATTTTATCAACTCCTTAAACTCCTGTGGAAATAGATGTGATCTCAGCCAGTACGTTTAGGAGAATTTATTCTTGAGGGTATATTTTTAAAAATCATTAACATTTTCCTTATTTTATTCATCAATCTTTTAATGGATATCCCTTCCTCAACACAGATTTAAGATAGCCTTGAATGATTCATTAAAGTTCAGTGTAATTTTTAAATGCTTAAATGCAATGTAAAGGCCTACCCAGCCCATGGTTCCTTACTGTACCACAGATCACAGAAAATAATTTTGAGTGTTTATTTTTTCAATTATCCCAAGAATGGCACATCCCTAGGACCACTCTAGATGCACTAGAAGTTAATTTATTCCATAGAATAGATGCCTTAAGTTTTATCTATGAATTCTCCAGTAGAGCCCAGTTAAGAAATGACTAGACCTTTGCTTTCCCTAAATATTAATGATTAAGATTCACAGAAAGTATTTTTATCTATACAGTTGTGGTTTCTCATCAGAAAAAAGCATGTTTCTAAGAAAACAAGTTCTCAAAAAAAAGAAAGCATTTTGTCTGGCATATTGTAAAATTATGCTCTAAAAAGGCTTCTAAGAGTTATTTAGAAAAACATGGACAACAAGGAGTGGGTCAGTGATGTCTTGAACCCAGACACTGTACTATATTATTACTTAATCAAGTACAATCATGAATTTTAATAAAGTACACATATGAATTCCATATTTCCATTCTTAAAATGTCACTAAGTAATCACAGCTACAGTCACAGAAATAAGAATAATTGGTAATTTAAGGTTTTACTTTACCTAAATATATCAATCCAAATCCTCCAGAGCCAATCTTCTTGCCCAGTACCCACTGATTGCCTTCCATATCATCCAGAACCTTGCCTTCTGGAAGTGGAATAGGAAGTTTGTATTTTTCATTTCTTTTTGGTGGCATCACTTCTGTTGGCAGAAGGGGTGAGATAAATGGGTAAAAATAAGAACAAATAAAACTCTTTAGAGTTAAAATACATTTCCCAAAATGTCTTCAATGGGGAACTTTCCCAGGTTCCTAGAAATTAGGATTCTAAAGTTAATTCAGTTTGGAAAAGCCCACACATTATATTCAAATTAGAAATTCATATACATTACAATATTGAGATCTAACAGATATGGATATTTTAAAAAAACAGAAGCAAATTAATCAAATTTCATTTAATACAACACTTCCAAAATTCATTTCCGGGGTCTATGGCACATATTAACATGCAGGATACACCTTAAGCAACAAGAAATTAACAATTTCCAATGAAAAAATAAAATAAATTTCATACACATAGAAATACTGCTTTCATTGAGAATGTAAAATGTTAAAAGTGAGAAGGTCTTCAGTCACTAGAACACAGAACTGGATTGGGAAGACACAGACAATGGCAATGGACATCATCACCACCAAGCAAAGCATGTGACACCGAGTAGGTACTCAGTAAACATTTGTTAAATGAGCCAGGGATTTTCATGGATATGTAATTTAGCAGAACACTAGGCCATCGGGTAGTTCCTGGGCTGCCAAAATATTCTCAGCATTTTGTCTTCTTACCCTCTCTCAGTTCATCACAGTGAAAATAGTCCTGCCTTAGAGATTACTTCTGTGCCACCAACAACAAAAACATAATCTCCATAGCACAGCCATGCAACTTTAATCAACTAATTATAATTGTATATAGGTTAGCAAATTTCTCAATGGGAAATTCTGAGTTAAAAGAGAAAATTTCTTAGGGGAAAATATATATATGCCAGCATATATGCCTCAAAATAATTTAAATGTGAAGGTTAACCATGATCCTCTAAGTATTTCTGAAGAATTTTTTAAAACTATTAAGAGTTTCTGACATGAAAGTTATTTATAAACATATACACGTAAAGTTTTCTTAATATAATCTTCCTATCTTCCATAAGTGTCTATTTTTCCTCCTTCACTTAACTGCTTTTTTACTTAGCAGCATCATCCCAGGTAGAGTCGCTGCGTGTATCTTTAACAATATTCACCTGTCCTCCTCCTGATAGGCACACAAGGGAAGCTGGGAATTTGGATGGTGAACCATGCCTGGAGCATTGATTGTATCATAAAGTAGGAAAAGTTTTGTGGAGGTTTCCCTCGACCAGTACATTATAGATGCTGGTACCTATTACAGATTTACTGATTTAAAACTTAAAAGTCTCCGAAGTGTAAAAAACTACTGATTAAGGCATAAATTCTAAATAATTATAAAGAGGATAAACACATTTTGGGGCAAGGCAGTGGCTTCAGGGCTTGAGGCGGTAAAGGAGACCCTGACTACGAAATGCACATCCTGGGGGCGGGTCCCGAGTTCTTCTGCTCGGGGAAACGACAGCCTCCTCTCAGGGCCAGTCCCTATCAGGGGTGTCCCTTTGGCTTCTGGGTACATTCCCAAGGCTAAGATGAAGTCCTTAACACGAGTTTCCGGGCAAACTGATACCCAGAGGTTAACATGAGCCAGGGCTGACCTCCAACCCCGCCGCGGCCCCTGACCCTGCGGGAGGAATCGAGAGCAGCGCGGCCCAGCCGCCTGGGCCGTCCGCCCTTAGCGCGCCGGGGAGCCACGACCAGCCTTCCCGCCCCAAGTTCTCTCTGCACCGGCAAAAAGAGAAACGCCACCCTCTTTTCCACTGACACCTCGGACCCCGCTTTTGGCCAACGCGAGTAGAAGGGGACGCCTGGTTCTCACCCCCAGAGGGGAAAAAGGAACCAAACGCGGAAGCAGAGACCAAGCCCAGGGCAAGACTAAGACGCAGCCCAGACTCCCCGGCGTCTCACTCCGACGGCAGCTCTTTCCCGGGCGGGGCCGCGGCTCCGGCAGTGCAAGCGGAGAGCGGAGCGCGGAGGTGCTGCACCCCAACCAAGACCCCAGAGCAAAAGACTGACCGGGCCTCAGTGTCCCTCGCCGCCGGGCCGCGCGCACCACCTCCTGCCTGCCGCTCGGGACCAGGCGGAGCCCCCGGGCCTACAATCCCGCGGGGAGGCGGGCCCAGCATCCGAGCCGGCCCTCCTTAGGGCCTTCTTAACTTCTCACTAGCTGCCTCGGCCTCGCAGTGCAGCAGCCCGCGGAGCCTGGCACAGGCCGCAGCCGGTTCTTTTCAGCGGCCTGTCCACGCCCCGGAGACGCCCAGGGGAAGGAGAGGGCGCGGCTACAAATGTTTTTACCTCCACCCTGGCCCGCCAGCGTCTGGACAAAGAGCCGCCGCCAGACCAGTTTGGTACGAAATAAGCACGACCTGCATTTGTGTAGGAGTGTTAGGTCTCCTGTACCACAGCTTGAGTACCACGAGCTTCCAAATGGCCAGTACTTACCGAGCTCTCGCCGAGCAACTAGTGGTACTAGCGAACACTCCAGTTAGGAGGGCCTGTATGTAACTCACCGCGTTTAAATTCTCAAAGGCATATTGGTTCAGGACCTATTTCTGCCATTAATCGTTGGATAATTTTAACACCGTAATTACTTAACAAACTTCAGATTTTTTTTTTTTTTTTGTCTGTGAAATGAAAATAACCATAGTTATTAGATTATAAGGATATTGGTTATGATTATGATAATAAAGTGAGGACTTTATTAAGCAGTTTTCTAATACATAAAGACCCATATCGGCCAGGCGCGGTGGCTCACGCCTGTATCCATCACTTTGGGAGGCCGAGGTGGGTGGATCCTCTAAGATCAGGAGTTTGAGACCAGCCTGGCCAACATGGTGAAACCCCGTCTCTACTAAAAATACAAAAAATTAGCCAGGCGTGGTGGTGGACACCTGTAATCCCAGCTACTGGGGAGGCTGAGGCAGGAGAAGCGCTTGAACCCGGGAAACGGCGATTGCAGTATGCAGAGATCGCTCCACTGCACCCAAGCGTGGGCAACAAGAGCGAAACTCCGTGTCGAAGGAAAAAAAAAGACTCATAGCTTATATTTTAGACTAAACCAAACAAATGCTTAGAAAAAGATTATTAATACTTAAGCCTTCTGCATAGGAACCACCAATAATTGGTTGGGATGCAAATACTGAAAGGAAAATTGGAGCCCTTTAATGAATTTGATAGAATAAGGAATTGGGACTTCCTACATCTTTCAGACGGTCACCAAAATGAAAGATGGCATGAGAAGGCGTTTCTAAAAACAAAAAAGTATTTTTAAAGAAACTTAGTCCATAGAATAATTGTGCCCTTAGTCATTCACTGGTCCAACAGTGTGCTTTCTTATTTTCGTAAGATATATATGTAACAGATGCAATTGGTTACTGATCCTAATATCCATATTGGGTATTCTTTCCTCCTTTCCAAATTTGTTCAGCTTTCCACCACTTCCCCGGGTCCCTTTTGGGAAGACACAACTCCAGCAACAGCCACAGCAGATTACTTGTAGGTGGTTCCTCTCCCTACAGGCATGTATCCAGTGTGTTAGTAAATCCTGTTGGCTCAACCTCCAAAATACATCCAACATCTATCACTTAGCACCTTACCTGCATTCTGGCCCAAACCATATTTTTTCTCTAGGTAATTGTATTACCCTGCTAAATATTTCATACCCTCTTACCCCTTTAGTCTGTTCACAACAAACAGCCACATGATCCTTAAAGCTTAAATAATTCCTGAACTTAAAACAATTCAGTGTCATTCCAATTTACTCACTGTTAGCCAGTCTTCACTATGACTTTAAACAGCATTTCTCAACCTGGGCACTATTGACAGTCAGCCTGGATAATTCTTTGTTGGGGGTATAGAAGGAGGAGGATGATTGAGAGGTAAGCTGTCCTGTGCATTGTAGCGTATTTAGCAGTCTCCCTGGTCTCCTCAGCACTCCCTCCCACACAAGTTATAACAACCAAAATATCCCCCAACATTACCAAATTTTGCCAAAATTGCCCCTCGTTGGAAACAACAGTGATCTACCTGTTATGCACTCCCACTCCCCAATCTCCTATTACTCTCTTCAACCACTGTGGCCTGCTGTTCTCAGGAACGTTGCACATTTCCTGCCACTTGGACCACTCTTCAACCTGGTATCTATATGGCCTAGTCCATCACTTCCTTCAGGTCTTTATTTAAAAGTCATTTCAGTGAGACCTTTCGTAAACATCCTATCTGAAATTTCAAGCCACCCACAATATCTCATAGCCTCTTTCTCTGTATTTTCCCCTAGTACCTACTGCTGTACAGCCATATATTATACAGTTTATTATTTATTTTGACAAAAGACAATCTTTTTCAGTAAATTGTATGTTTCAGGAGGTCAGGCAACATTTTTGCCTGTTTTCGTTACCACTGTATCCCCAATCCCTAGAAAGGATATAGACAACCATTTCCTTCTTGAATGAATAAATGAATCATGCGGGCCCCATTCCAATTCCCATGATTGGTTTAGACAGTATAAAATAAATATGTGTTGAGTCTAGATAACAAGAGGTGAAAAGAAGTTTCCTGGACACATTCTTGGAAGAGATAGTCTCTGATATGATGGTTAAAATGGCTGCAGTCATCGTGTGACCATGAAGGTGGGGAAAAGTACTAATCTAAAGCCCCAGGAATGGCAGAATATTCAACAAATGTTAGAACAGCTAGACATCCATATATACAAAAACAAAAAAAGAAGAAAGAAGAAAAACCCTTAATTCATACCCCATGTAAAAATTAACTTGAAACTGATCATACAGCTAAATCTAAATACAAGATGTAAATCTAAAACCTTTTAGAGAAAACCTAGCAGAAAATCTATAATCTTTAACTGTGTGTAGTTATAAAGTATAAAAAATTTAAAAGCTGGAAATCTAAAAGAAGAAATTGACAATTTAACTTCATCAAAATGAAAAACTTTTGCTTTTCAAAATATACTATTAAGTTACCAAGGATTTGGAACAACTTGGAACTCTCTTATATTGCTGTTGATGGTACAGCCACTCTGGAAAACAGTTTGGCAGGTTCTTATAGTGTCAAACATACAATTAAAATACAACCCAGCATTTGCATATTTACCCAAGATAAATCCAAACCTGTATCCACACAAAGAATTAGAGCAGCTTCATATATAATAGCCAAAAACTGGAAATAAATTTCCATCAACTGGTGAATGAATAAGCAAATATACAATGAACCATCACTCAGCAATAAAAAGGAGCAAAGCACCAGTATAGTCAACAAGCTGGATGAATATCAAAAACACAATGCTATGTAAAAGAAAAAAGACACAAAGGAGTATATACAATATAATCCTTTATTCGAAATTGAAGAGCTGGGATTGACTGCAAAGAGCTGAAACATTGCAAATGTTAAATTTCTTTACTGTGGTAGTAGATACATTATTATACATTTGTCAAAATCCCTCTAATTGTATGCTTAAAATTGAATTGTATATAAATTATGCCTCAATAAAATCGATTTAAAAGAATGGCAAAAGAGAAAGATAGGAAAATCCTGAGTCTTTGAGGCCATTATTGAACTACTAATTCAACTAATCGTGAACCACCACATTTTCATCTTCATCCATGAAATGTTAAGTGTTCTTATTTAAACCACTTAGCATTGGTTTTTATATTTCTTGCAGCCAAAATCTTCCTAACAGCAAAATAAAGTTTCAAGTTTCATAAGTGCCAATGATTTTTAAATGTTAATAAATTTGTACTAAATAAAAATGGCAACAGAGGAGCAGGTAAACCTATATTGAGAATATGTGTTTTTTTAAAGTGTTGGGATTTAATGCAGAATTTTATGATTCAGAGCATATTGCTGTGTGTATGTTTCAAGATGAAAACTGACAGAATATAGAAATACAAATTTTGGAACTAGTGAAAGAACATCTTCTGAATGAACATGATGAGAAACAAGAAAGAAAAGAGAATCTAGACATGAAAGCACTGAAGTGTGAGTCATCAGAAAAAAATATGGGGAAAACTAGGTTTTCAAACAAAGCTATTTTGATAGATCTTACAGGCTATGAATGATTCACCACAAATACACACACACACACAAAAGGACTTTCTTGGCTGTATGCCAACTTGTAGGTATGGCATGGGTTCTCCTTTTCAAAGAACCAGGTGCTATAAAATGCCTACACTGGTTAAAAAGAAAAAGAAAAACCCAGCCATTTAGTAAGCATACTTTACAAGGCCAGGATCATTTCAAATCAATTAAAGTGTTAAAGATGATGCATAGACAAAACATTCAGAAAAAGCCAATTTTTGTTACTTAAAGTGAGATAAGATCATATCAGTGGAAACGTTTTGCCTGCCAAAGAAGAGCTAGTTTTTTGCTTTATAAAAATCAGGAGGCCATTTGCACTCATAAACTTACAATCTCTAAACAGCTAAGCAGTTCCTGACATAGAAATTTTGAAAATAATAGAATTCAGGTAAATGGAATTCCAAGCCCATTAGATACACAATCAGACCAAATACCTATGTCCTCTGCATTCTTTACATATAAGATAATTACAAAGTATAAACTTAACCATCCAAATGATATAATTCTTGATTGTCTATATAAATGAAGGATTAGAATATTAAAAATAATTTAAAATGTCGTATCAGTATGTCATGTAAACCAAAAAGTATCTGAGATAAGTCTCAATCAATTTAGAAGTTTGTTTTGCCAAGGTTAAGGACATACACGGGATACAGCCTCAAGAGGTCCTGAGAACATGTGCCCAAGATGGTTGGTTTTATATATTTTAGGGAGACAGAAGATATCAATCAATACTTGTAAAATGTACATTGGTTCAGTCTGGAAAGGCCCGACAGCTTGAAAGGGGGGTGGGATGAGGGAGCTCCAGGTCATAGGTGGATTCAAAGATTTTCTGAGTTTATCTAAAGACCTGGAATCAGCAGAAAGGAATATCTGGGTTAAGATAAAGGACTGTCGAGACCAAGGGTATTAGTTTACTGATGGAGCCTCCAGGTAACAGGCTTCAGAGAGAATAGACTTTAAATGTTTCTTATCAGACTTAAAAAGATGCCAGATTCTTAGTTTATTCTCTCCTGGATCGGGAAAAAGACTCGGAAAGGGAAGGGGATTCTCTACAGAATGTAGATTTTCTCCACAAGAGAAAGTTTTGCAGGGCCATTTCAAAACATGTCAAAGAAATATATTTGGGGGTAAAATACTACATTTTTTTTCAGGGCCTGCTATCTGTCATATTGGTATCTTACTGCTA